CAAAACACTTCATACTTCCAGATTGATACACTTTTAGTGCTGTATCAAATAAAACACTTCTATATAAATAAGCACACATAAAAGTGATGCTAATGGAGTCCATCCCTATCTTCCCTAAAACGTGGTATCATCCCTATCTCCTCCACACACAAAAACAATGTATGCAATGAATGCTCAATCAATACACGTATTTCTGTATCAATACCATAAGTCAAAATTAATGATTAACCAATGTGATTAGTTTCAGTTATTCCTAATCCACATGCATGTCTACAACAATCACGACTATCTCCACCGATAGCCCAAACAGTTATTTCTAAACTGAAAAACTATATCAACAATTAAATAGACAAATAATTCCAATTACCAATTACGCTATTTAACAATGAATTCCCCAAATTCCATGAATTACTTATACAAATTATTCAATAACACATACTAGGGTTTTCCCAATTTACCAAAGTATCCCACATATCAAATTACCAAGGCTTAGAACAAAACCTATAAAATGGAGTAGGAATCCCTACTCAAAGAAAACAACCCAAAAGGTGAGACAGAGATGAGTGCCCAATTCCACATGTGCTCCAATCACCAAATGTTTCAGATTAAGAATGAAGCCCAGCCGCCCTCTATTCTTTTTTCTTACAAAGAACTTAAGATGGATTCACACTAGAAGTAGATGAACACCTAAAGAGAAGATGAGTTTTGAGGGAGAGAATCGGCCTAGGGTTTAGAACCAAAAGAATAAGAAAAGACTGATCAAATCCGCTGCTGCGTATATATAACTGGACAGGCTCGCTTGAGCGAAGACTTGGTCGCTCGAGCGACCAGACACAGAGAAACTACGCTCGAGCCAAGGAAGCCTTTGCTCGAGCCAAACTAATCTCAAAACTCGCTCGGAGCGAAAGAAGCTCGATCGAGCGAGAAACTCAAACCCTCAGATCTGCAACAAGACACAGCTCGAGCGAAGAACTATTGCTCGAGCGAGGACGAACTACATCGCTCGAGCGAAGAAAATCTCGCTCGAGCCAAGAATGAACAGCTAAGTCCAAATCAACGCACAGCATTCGCTCGAGCGAAAACTCCTCGCTCGAGCGAAGAACCAAAAACCTGGACAGCAGCACTTGTCCTAAACCACCAACGCTGAAACAACTTGCCCAATACATTCTATAATTCAAATGAGAAATAAGGGACAACACAACAATTATACAATGACAGAATCTACGGAACCTAAGTCCGGATACAATAAATAGTGGAAAAGACCGGGGTCGCTTAAAAACCTCCCCCCTTCAAAGAATTTCGTCCGCGAAATTAAGCATAAGTTTTTGAAAACAAATTTTTTTTAATTCATTAGTAAACATCTTGACCAAAACTGTCATTTCATCTCTTTTATCAAGAGCATCTCATATGAAATATTAACACAACATAAATCTCAACCTGTATCATTATTATGCATTATTTCTTTCAATGTTAACAATCCCATGATCATTCAATGCATGATATATTATAACCACTCAGCAATGTATATCAACATATGCAATGCTATACTAAACTTCTATAATGAAAGTAAGTTTCAAGATACACCCATTTACCAAAACATACTCAACGTTTTACACTTAAGACATATGTAAAGCTCTTAAGTTCAACACATTACAGAAATCTAAATACAAATTACAAATGAATTAACATGTCCGGGTATTTTTTCGCGGCTTCCAATTCACGCTCCCAGTGGCTTCTCCATCCCATGATGTTTCACAAAACTTTTACCAAAGGGATGGTCTTGCCTCGCAAACTTGATCCCGCCTATCCAATACCCGAACCGGTCTCTCCTCATACGAGACATCTCATCAACCACTAATCGGTCCAATCCAACAATGTGATGGTCCGGCTCATACTTCCGAAGCATACTCACATGAAACACGTCATGTACTCCGGACAACTGCGGTGGCAAGCTAAACGATAAGCAGCCTCGCAATCCTCTCAAAGATCTCAACGGACCAATGAACCGAGGGGACAACTTCCCCACTCTTCCAAACCTCATCAAACCCCGTCTAGGTGTATCTTCAAAAAGCAATGATCACCTGCCTCAAACCAAAGGTCTCCTCTACGGTCGGCATACGATTTTTCTGACAATTCTGTGCTGTAACAAGCCTCTTACGGATAAGCTCAACTTTCTCCGTCGTTTCTCTGCACTAACTCTGGACCAACAGAGTGCATCACACAGCCCTCAGCCCAACACATAGGAGATCTAGACACGGTCGGCCACACAAGGCCACTCAAGTGGTGCATCCGATACTAGATGGAAACTGTTGTTTGTAGGCAACTCACCAACGGCAGTGCCTCTCCCAGACCCACTAAAATCTAGAACACAACCCCGAAGCATATCCTCAAGTATCTGAATAGTACGTCGGACTGTTCCGTCAGTCTGAGGATGATAAGCCGTGCTAAAGGTCAACTTAGTGCTAAGGCACTCTGCAAACTCTGCCACACTGGGCAGTAAAACGAGGATCTCTATCTGAGACATCGTCACTGGAAACCCCGTGTAACCTCACTATGTCCGAATATACAAGTCGCAAGATGATCTACCGAATCTCTCCACGCGCATAGGAATGAAGTGCGCCGACTTAGTCAACCGGTCTCAACCACCCAAATAGCATCACTAACCCCGCTGAGTCCCCGGAAGACCCCAACGAAGTCCATAGTGACGTGTTCCCACTTCCACTCAGCAATAGGCAAGGGTTGCAACAAACCGGCTGGCCTCTGATGCTCGGCCTTCACTTGCTGGCAAGTAAGCACTTAGATACGAAGCTGCCAACATCTCTCTTCATACCCCGCCACCAAAACTGCGACCCAAATCCCGATAACATCTTAGTGCCCCCCCGGATGCACTGCAAGACGTGAATGATGAAACTCTCAGGAAGTACCTCCTCTCGGCAAGACTCCGGCACAAACAGACGGTTCTCGGTATCTCAACACTTCAGGTCGGAATAAAACCGTCAAACCCTTCTCAAACCTTCCCACCGGAAATCTTCTCACGAAGAGATTCCCTACCTCAAAGTCGACCTCTCTCCTGAGCCTCTAACACCTCGAGTCACAAGTGTAGGCCGTTGCAATAAAGAAAACAAGGCGCAGCCTCAACGGATTCGCCCCAGAAAGTAAATCTAAATACTCCCAAGTCACCCAACTCTCCCATTCTCGGATGGCTATACCTAAGCTACGACACCACAGGTTTCTGCTAGAGGGCATCGGCCACCACATGGCCCTTTCCGGATGATCATGCAGACTCCAAGAGTCATAATCCTCTATGAACTCCATCTCACGCCTGTCTGCCTTCAAGTTCAAAATCTTCTGTGTAAAACAAATATTTTCAGACTCTTATGATCCGAGATACCTCAAATTTCTCCACCAATAAAGAAATGCCTCCAATCTTCAAAGGCAAATATAACGTCTGCTAACTCTAGTCCATGCGTAGGGTAATCTCTGCTCTCGTTCGAATTTTCAACTGACGTGAAGCCATAGGCAACTACTTTCCCTCTTGCATTAACACACAACCCAGAACCCTCTCGTGAGGCTACAATAGAACTTGTATAACCCAACCCTCTCTCATGGAATAATCAATACTGAGCGGTGGTCAGCTTAACTTTCAACTCCTGAAACGACTTTCACAAGTCTCACTCCATACAATTTGAACTCCTTCGATTCAAATCTAAGTCAAAGGCCGAGCTACATCTGGAGCAATCTTTTTCACAACCGACGGTAATACCCAACTAAATCCCAAGAAAACTGCG